AGACATTCCCCATATGAAGATTGAGACATTTAACTGTGATCTTTGTCCTTTTTTTTTTTTTAAGCTTCTGTGCACCTGGCCAAAAGAAGTGTACAGTATTTTCTGTAACTAAAACTAAATCCAGTCTCAAAGGTTTGCCTCTGCAATTATTAGCATGACCCTTTCTTGTTAACATACCCAGGACCAAAAAATTGTCTTCTAATCATACCTGCCAGGGCATAAACATTGTATTTTGCACAACTTGCCATGAGGCTGAGTAAGACTGAACTTGAATTGAGAAAAGCCTTCGTCTGTTGCATATCTTGTTTCTAGGTGATAATTCCCAATCACCCACATGAGCTGTCTGAACATATTTTCTGATGCAGGTGATGTGGACAGATACCCAGTAGGATTTCTTCAAAGGACTTTTTGAGCCACCCACTCTCCCCTACCAGCCTAAAATACTCTGTGCAATAAGAGAACAACCAGATGGCTGGACATCCATCACTCCTTCTGTCCCTTCTATTTATTGTCTTGCTTATTGTTGAGTGGAGAGCAAGGCAGGGGACAGGGACAATTTTTTTAGAGCTGCTAGCTACTTAGATCCCAGTAAATGAGACAGGCCCAGTGTCTGATTAGTGGTAATTGTCGTGATGTACATTGAATGGAGGTACTTCGATGTAGTGCCCAAGGGAAAGGTGGTGGCTGATATGGAAATGCTGTGGTGGAATGCAAAGCATGACTCTGTGATGGTGGCAAAGCTTAGTAACAGGAACACTGACAGCATGCTCCAGTTACACCACCAGGGAAAGCAGCTCAGAGAGCTGTGGCAGCAGTCCAGGCCTTATCTTAAATAAGGGATCTCTCTCCTCCTCACTCCACCCCTGCCTGCTTTCTCAGCCTTCTTTTCACTGCTTCCTTTGCTTACTACCATTTCCCTGTGAGCCCTTCCTTTTCACAGCTGAGCTGCTCTCCCCAGGGCTGCCCACCACAACGTAGGAGTGCTCTGCAGCATCTGCTAGCTGGAGTATGTCACTGAAGGGAATGCTGGGGCAGAGGGAGCCTGGGTGTCCCTGAGGCAGAGGGACACAGGCCATGCTACGGGTCAGCTCTGGTGAGCTGTGGGAACCTGTCAAACATATGCAACCTGCAGGCACGGGACTAGGAACAGAAGAGCTCTTCTGGTTTCTGCTTCCTCCTCGTTCGTCACTGGTGCATGGCCCAGTCTCTTAATTTCATGGCAAGGGTGCAAGTGAGACGGTGACTTAGAGCACTTTGGGCTATAAGGCTCAGACCTGCTCTTGTTTGCTCATGGAAGCTACCACAGGCTTGAAGAATTAAAAGGTAGCTTGACACTTCTTTGGGAAAAAAGTAGGGAAAACTCTGCTTTTGGGGGAACCACCGTAATTGAACTGTTGATATGGAAGTTAAAAAAAAGACTTTATTCTGAATGTTTCATTAAGGCACTCACGGGCAATTATGAGCTAAAAGCTGAGGTGTGTTAGCTTTAATAAAGTATTTATAATCCAAGGATTACTATGTTTACATAACCAATGTGCTGTCAGGCTCCGAGATGACACCTCCTTTGTGGTGTACCACTGTGGAGAAGTATGGGGCCAGCGCCACTGTCAGGCACAAACGACATTCCTGGAGATGAGGGCATTTTCAGATGGATAATAAATAGACTCAGCCCTCTCCAGAAATCCTTGAACAGGATATGGTCCAAGTATTGTGAATACTAGGAGAAGCAAATGCATGAAAATATTTTCTTGCTTAGAACAAGAAAAGTAAAGTAATTTATACACACACATGGAAGATTATATGTATATAAAATGTGCATGTAGAAGACCAGTAGTCAAAGCCTTAATAAGTGTAAAGTGAACAATACTGTACCACTGACTATAGCTTTATTGCAGGCTGTATAAAATCACGTTATCTCTGTTTTGGTTTTGGTTTTTTGTTTGTGTTTTGGGGTTTTTTTAGCTCTGCTTTGTTTCTTTTTTTCAAATTTTGAGGCCTTCTTACAGGCAAGACCTCTGATCTCAAGCTGTTTGACCATGCAGGTCTGGGGAAGTGAGCACTGCTAGACGAGGTGTGTGTTTATCCTTCTTTTCCTTGCTCCAGTTCAAGCAAAATTACAGTGACTCAGGTCTGGAAATAAAATGTGACATCAGTGCCTCTGAAACAGAAGCAAAGTTTCAGGTGGCAAGCAGCAGTTCAAGTTTCCTGACCCTGTAGTGGCAGCAATGGCTCTAGGGAAAAGTGACTGTAGGAGCTGTAGACATGTGCTTTAACATCTCTGTTCGTTGTTCTGGTAATTTCCCATCTACCCCAGACTGGTTTGTTTCAGATGCTTGCAATGTGGTTTGACAGATGTACTAGACTCATTAGCATTCATCCAGGTGTCTCTTGTGACAGTGTGCTCACAACTGTTGTACTGTGCATTTCAACCAATGATCTATGTAGAATATTTCTGCTGTACTGACTGGACCTAGCAGTCAATAATTCTAAACGTGTGAAATTTTCTTAAGAAAAAAAATGTCAGACCCTCTGATGTGTGTGTATGTATTCTGGTCTTTGTGTGGTTTTTACATTTCACTAACTAAAATAATTTTTTAGAGGGGAAGGAGAGGAGGGTGTGGGGGCAATCATAAATGTACCTGTGCCCAGAACGAGTGAGTGAGTCTCTGCATTCATTAAAGACTGTGGATTCAGTTGCACATTCTGTTGTATGCATGCATTTTCCACTTCTTCAAGGGGAGGACATTTGTTACTATATTCCTTGTTCTGCCAGCTGTTGTTTGTGTCTTCTGCTAATACCAGGTGGGATTTACTCTCTGCAGGAAGTGCTTTCCTGTGAGCCTTTAGGCTTGTCTCCCTTTTGCAATCAAGAGAGCATTAGTAAGTGGGGCAGAGAAACAAGTTGTTCAGCCAAAGAGCTACATCGTTGGTTCGTGTTGCGCACTTACACTTTAGTGGGCTGAGATACAGATCTGCAGTGATAAACATTAGAGATCTGGTAATTAGTCCATAAGTATACCTCAAAGGATGAGGCTCATTTGCTACACTACAGGCTATGGCCTTCATCAGCAGGTCCCAAAGACAAGAGACATGAAACTCCTGTGCAAAGGACAGCAGGATGAGCATGAGGCAGATGTTCCGTATTGCAAAGTTGTGGTCCATGCACCATAGCAGCCAAATGCCGATAGGTAGAACCTAAAATGCTTTTCTTCCTCTTTCTGTCTAGTGCTTGATGTCTACCCTGCTTGCTAAGAACCATGTCTGTGTTCTTTCCCCAACACATACCTAGTTCATCTGTGACCTACCACCTAGAACATTTCCTGTGGTGTGTCAAAGCTACCCAAACCTTCATGGTGACTGAATTTCCTCCCAGCTGTTCCCAAAGGCAAAGCAGCAACGGATATCAAGTAAGGAATAAGCATCCCCGTGTAGCCTCCTGCATCAGAGTACCATGGCACAGTATGACCCTGGAATGAACCTAGAGGCTGACAGTCAAGACAGTAGGTAGACATGATTTCCAAAATGACACCCATGAGTCTTCAGTCATATGGATAGTTACAAAGCAAAGCAACGTTGAAACATTAGAAATGATGCAGCCCAAGTGAAGCTGGTAGGAAATGGGAGGTAAAATAGAAGGTGGGATATGAACTGGAGTCACAGCTGTTAAAGAAACACAGAGACATTTGCGGTTACAGCGAGATAGGTTCTTACTGTGTGCATGATGTATCTATTGTGTGTGTAAAGATCTTTTGCAGGTTTGTTGTTTCTCTACTGTTCAACTATCATGTTCCCTTAATATCTCTTTCCACACTGTCTGCCACCAGTGCTGTGACAGGGCTGGTCCTTTTTTTCTCTACTTACTTATATAAACAGGACTTAATTTTCCAGAAAGTGCCCAAAGACCATCCAGTCACTGTGTGTGAGTTGATAAAGGGCATATCCATTGTCTGCCAGAAGATTCTTCATCCTTTAAAAACGCAAGTACCCAGTGGCACAACTCATTTCAGACAAAGAACGATGCCTCAGACCAGACAGGCTTGTTGGTCTCAGCATTAAGCCAGCAGAAATCCTTCACTTTGTTCTGACATTTCCAGCAGGTGCTCTGGCAGATAAGGTGCTAGCCTTAGAAACCAAAAGCAGGATTCCCCTCAAGCTGATCTGTGGCACACTCTTGGAGCCAGGAGCTCTTATTTGCCATGTATCTGGCAGAGAAGAGGTGGAGTTTCCAGTGCCCTGAAGCCCAGCTTCCCAGGTGCATGCCAGACCCTGCTCCTGGCAGGGACTTGGCTCTGTCAGGTGTGCTGGGACCCAGCCAGGTTGTCTGAGTCAGCCCAAGAGAAATGCCATCATCTCTTCCTCTTTACAGGTCCACAGTTTGTGTATTAGGAGGAAGAGAAACTCATCTTAAAACGAGCACTAACCCTGGCATTGGGCAGTCTGCTGTTACTGCATGCAGGGATTTCTCGGGGAGAAGAGCAAAATGGTGAGTAGGAGTTGGCTGGCTTTGTTTGGATGGAAGTAATGAGAGGATGAGGACATCAGAGAGCAGAAGAGGTGAGGCCACTGAACCGGTTATCTATCGGTTGAAAAGCTCCCTGGGGTGTTTAACCCTCCCATTCTCTGCCCTGACCAGATCAGTCAAGCTGATTGTTTGCTGTGCATTTCCTTATGGTGCAACAGATAGGTTCAGATATCTGCTTGGATTTTAACATCTGCCCCAGCTTTTCTGTCCTGGTGGTATTGCCTGGTCTTAGGGCAGTTGGAGCAAAGAGGACACTGATGCCCTGAATCATGAAGTGGACCCTTCAGGAGATTTCTTGTCCTGGGAGCTGAAACACACTGGTATCTGTTTAAAAATGGCCAGGTGAGAGTGGCTGAGAGTGAAACCTCCCTCCTCCCAGCACCTAGCTGACTCTGGGCTAAAGCAACATTCTCCTCTGAAATGTAATAATGAACTAATTCCATGAGCATTCACTGATCAACAGAAGACTTATGGAAGTGCAGCACAAAGTTACTTGTTAATGGCATACAAGCAGAAATAATATATTAATGGCTTTGATCTCTCTAACCTCTGTTGGTCTTCTCTCAGTTCCCCCTATTGGTCCCTTTGGGATCTCCCTTTGTCTCTCTTCCTCAGCCTTACTCAGTGAATGGCCTGTGCCAGCTCCATCCAAGAACTGGTGAGTTGTTACCCATGGAGCTGTATAGGCACCAAAGAGGGAGTGGTCCCTGACCATCAGCAATCACAGTTTGAACAAGTGCAAGAAAAGCTAGGGGAAAGGGAGTATTATCTGTATGTTGGACAGTTGATGCTGAGAGGTGGAAGCATCTGTGTTAAAACTGAGATGTAAATCTAGAGCACCTGATCATGCCGTGTGTGTTAATTGCATTCATCCAACTCCCCTCCCTTCCATGAGAGGCTCTCTGCACTGAGATGCAGGGTTCCAGTGATATGGACTTGGCTGGGGAAGAGGCCTGTCTCCTTGTGGTCTCCTTTTCTTTGCAGGTCTGCAGGATGCTCTGAGTTACTGAATGGCAAGAAGGGAGAGGGAAGGGTTGCAGTGTTTAGTTTTTCCCTCAGCTGCAGTAAAAGGTTTTCTCTCACCCAAGATGTGCTCTTGGCAGGCGGTCAATGCTGTCGGGAAACCTACCTGACTCATATCAGAGTAACTGGTACTCAGAGCCCCTTAAAACTTACTGTGGAGTAGTCAGGGCAATCTGTGAGCAAAAGCAGGAGCAGTGCAGGCATAGAAAGATCTCACAATATTTAATTACATTCACTTTACATTTAGAAATTTCAGAGCAATGGTCAGGAGTTTTAATCAGGAGGATTAGAAACATCCTCTGCTTTCTTTTTTTAAGTAACTAAATTGGAGGTCAATCGTAATCTTCATGTCTCTCCTGATGAGGCTAAATACAAACTTGTATACTGATCCATTTTTGCAAGTAACTTGAGACACTGGCTTTAAACCATGGGACAACTGAAAGAAACAGCCTATTTTTCAGTGTCTTGCTATGGCTTTCTATATTTGCTTGCTAGCAGGTTAGACACTTCAGTTTCCAAATATGAACTCTTAGGATGTCCCAAATCTTGAATTTTGTAATTCAAGTCAGAAGAGAGCACAAATACCCACTGCCCTGCAAGTCAGCTGTTAGAGATTTAAGGGCAGAACTAGGTTTTTCCTTTAAGTAAGGAGTTATATGGTCTATCTTCTTGTGTCCCACCTTAAGAAACTAAGTATTTAACCCTGGTGACAGAATAAGCCAGGAGAAACATTTCTTCTCAAATCAAGGGCTACCAATCAGGTTATTGTGAGTAACAGACCTATTCCATTGCATACACAAATGTAGTTTCACAAAGAACTTGACCTGAGAAAGGTGACCATATGTAAATATATTATTGATGTGGCTCTTTCTATTCAAACTTTCACTTAACTTGCAGGCACAGCCCTAGAAATAATAATGAAGTTCATTAAGTGCACTGTCTTTAGCCAAGAAGAAAGAAATAAATTTACAGTTTCAGAGAAGGGGCAGGTATGAAAATCCAAGCTCAAATTAACAAATCAGCTATTCACAAAGCTGTGGTTTAGTGAGTAAGTCCAAGGAAGGCACAGTATGAAATCTGGGTGAGAAATGTCTGCTATATTTCATTCCCAGTTGGCAGCCTGGATGCAGCAGTACCTGCACCTCTAAGTAGAGTTTGAAAGAGATCCTTTCCACTCAGTGGCCGATTGCTAGCTGTGTCTGCATGCCAAGAGGCATTTCACAACATCTGCAGTCCCGTAGCTCAGCTGTTCAAAGGTTAAACTTTCAGTACAGTGTTCATTGCTTGCATATAAAGGCCACATTTCTAAACAAACCTCCAGCTGGTATCTGTAATGGGAGGATAAATTCTGGATCTTTTGGTAATCTCACCCCCTCTTTGACTTTGTTGTGGATTATGGTCCTCAACACATAGTGCTGTGCCCCGCTCCTAGACTACAGGACTTGGACTGATCCAAATCTCTCACGACTCGCATCTTGAGCCTTTTTTCTCCACAACCTGCTATTGACAAGCTTTCACTGCACTGACCTCCTGCTTTGAACAACCAGGCTCTCCCTCCTCAGTGCATGGCAACAGAACTTCTGCAGGCAGAAAAAGGACAGCTTTCTGCCAGCTCCCTCTCTGCTGGCTTTTTGTGGATGCAAAGCAAAGGTCTTTTGCCCTTTTCCTGACACTTTGCAGAGCACCAATCTCAGCTGCAAGGGAGACCTCAGCAGCTTTGCTCTTTCTCTTCAGTTTATTTAATTCTTACACGTTTCTGGGACTGACTGGTGTTCTCACGTAAGTGTCTTAAAGGAGCTGTTTCATACAGAAGTGCATATTAATTGGCCCTGGATTATAGGAGAGGGTCCTGCAACTGCTTTTCCTGATAACCCATGCCTGAAGCTAAGCTTCTTCTCAGTACTATTCCCATCACTAGCACTGATCCCTGCAGGCAGCCCCAGCTGCCCATAGAGCTCCCCATATAATGTGCCCAGTATTGCTTCCAGCAGTAATGCTGCACCAGCAAAAGAAGCTGAGAGCAGCCTTCAACTGTCTCCAAGCGTCTTTTTACATTCCTCCCGGATGGCAGAGTCTTTATATCCCATCTAACTGACAGACAGCACATCCAACAGAGATTCTTCTGAATACTTCCCTTTCTATGTGTGGGAACAATCTGGTCAGCGAGGAGTTAATATGTTTCTGTCATTTTCATCTGTCCTTGAATCTACAGAAGCAGACACATGAGATTAGTTTGTGACTCAAAGGTTGCAGGTGCAAGTCCTTGCTGGTTTACAAGCTACTGTTGTACTCCAGCTCCCAAACTGCAGTGGGGTTACACAGCCTTACCCTTTCTCACTCGGGAGCTGTTGGCATAAATGCCAGTGTAATTAAACAATAAGGCCCCTGACTACTCAGAGGCCTTACATGGTATAAACGATTCAGGCAAACCAGTTCATGTTTCCTCATATCTTCAACAGCATGACAGAGTTTTTGTTTTCTCTGGAGTAACTAGCGTGCCTGCCCTGTTCAGCTCAAATTACTATATTCTCATGTTATCATTTCCAGTCACTTCAGAAGCACCCCTCCCCATTCCATACCTGGCCAGAAGCATCTCCCAATTGCTAATATTCAGTTCTGATTTTCTTTTTTGTTTGTTTGTTTGATTGATTGATTGATTTGGTTTGCTTTTGTTGTTTGCTTTGTTTTGTTTTGTTTGGGGGTTTTGTTTGGTTTTGTTTTATTTCTCTACAGGAGACATCAGAGTCATTCTCATGGTTTTACAGTCCAACAGTAAATTTGGTAAATACACTGCTTAAGGTGAAGATCAGCTAGCTGCACACCATCACGTTATCTGTAGGAGCGGGGGGTGGAATTCTGGAAGAGAAATTTCTGCTTTTATGAGTGAGTGTTGATGTGGATCTTCTGACAGACTGTCCTAATGATGCTGATGGTATTTTGTAGCAATAAAGAAAGGTGAGAGTCTTAAAGTACCCAGATTCCTGCATTTGTGCCTGTTTTCCTGTTTATTTAAAAATTATCAAATCCAACTAGAAGTTATTTTGCTAAGCCTACTGTAATGCAACAGAACTTCTTTCCTGCTCCTTTCACCAAAGGGAATGTGAGTGTTGTTTCAGATTTCATTTCTGTTTTCTCACAGTGGGAGAGGGGATGGTGAGGGGAGCAGGGCACCAGCCATCACAGCAGTTACCAGACGGTCCTTTACATGTCCTGACACTCATTTAAGATACATGTCATAGCCAATTCTTTGGTAAAAGACACAAGGTTCTTCTTTCTCCACCAGAAGTTGTGGGCCTGCAAACAACTGGTATTTCTAATCCTACCTTCCTGCTTGCTATATTGTGAAATGTAGTCTCTGTTCTGATGCACAGACCCTTTCTGGTTTTGCATCCTCCCAGTCAGGGTTCAATGGCATTTCACTGCTTTGTTATCCAGCCAGGAATCAGTCGGTTGCTTTTTTCTGCTGAATCATAGTCATTGTGTACAATCAGTCCAGCCACAGCCTGCCCCAGAATGCGGAAAGGCAATTTTCTGACTGCTGAGTTGCTGAAAGATGACTGTAGATGTGGGTATTGATCATGGCTATTCTTTGTCAAGCATCTGTTATCTGCAGGGTCCAGAGAAGACCCATCTGGCCTGTGGCCTTTGAGGGAACATGTTCAGCTCTCGACCTCTGGCCTGTTCCCAGAGCCCTCTCCCCAGGGCTGTCTGGGGTGGATGTTGGGTCCTGCAGCTCTCAGCTGCAGCAATGTCAGCTTGAGGTGGTGGGTCAGTCTGGGAGACGGGAGAAGAGAGGCACCTGCTGTCATCACTGCCTGTGTGGTGGACTTCCTTTTTGCTGGAGCTGCCTCATAATTTGGAGCTGAGTGTGACATTTTGCAATGGGTAGAAAATGCCAGAGGGTTTTGTGTTAGGGCACACGAGGTTTGCTAGAGCCCTGCACATGCATCTAGGCAAGGCCGTGCAGGCAGTTGCCTTCAGCGCCATGGGAAGGACAGAGAGCAGACTGTTACAAAAACACATCTTTTCTGGGGCTTCCCACTCCCCTTTGTGCTGCTTTTCCGAGTCAAACTTTCTCTAGGGTATATTTGTACTTTTCTCTTGTACAGGCTTTGTATATGCTTTTTTTTCAGCCTCAGGCCCCTTTTTGAGGAAAAGCATATATTCCTTCCCTTCAGCCAGAGACATTGTTGGAAGGAGCAGAATTTTGGTTCTTGCTTATGACTGGCAAGTACAGGCCATGACCTTGGAGCGTGGCTGGGTGTTCCATGTGTTACTGACCATGTTACAACATGCTGTTGTTGGAGTCTTGCAGCTGCTCACTCTCCCCTTGCTTGCTTTGTATGAAACACTCTTTTGTATATGTTCTATAACCATGTATTTCTAGAATTCTGCGCAGACATCTGGAAATGCAACTGTCCAGCCAGATTGCTCTTCTGGGGTAAGAGTATATTTCATTGTTTAAGGCAATTGATTACATGGAATTTTTTCCCTCTGCAATCAAACCTCTGCTTCCCCTGTCCACCCCAGTTCACAGTACAGCTGGGCTGGAAGCTACTGTTTTGATCCAGGGCTTCAGGTTTATTCCTCACATTGGCTTTTCTTGCTGTTTTATGGTAGCCACTCACTCGGCTACTAACTCTGTTGTAAAGGACCACACTGCATGCATTTGACTGGGCTATCTTTCTTTGTAAGTTAGTATGAACCATGGGTGGTTGGAGTAGCCACAGGAATACCCAGCATTCTGGCCTTGGTCCTTGCTGTCATCTTGGCAGTGGTCTGTATTCTCCGGTGGAAGAACTACAGCTGGAATCAGGTGACTACCTTCCATCTCCTGGGTGTCTTGCTGCTTCTAAGCCTAGATCTCCATATCAGAAACCTGATTCAACACCCTTTTCAGCTCTTGGGAAGTTCAGGACCACATCTCTTGACTTTCCAATTGTTTCTGCACTGTCTCTCAAAGGCTGGACCTCAGCCTAGAATTTGAAGGGTTCATGAGGATAAAACAGAAATTCATGTTCAAATACTGAAAGGGCACTGCCAAGTGGTCTGTTTAAATAGCAGGAAATTAAAAATCCACAAGCTATCACCATTGTTCTTCAGTGGATTTCTCTCTCATTTCCTACAGGAAATCATCCTCTCAGTACAAATGGTATTATTTGGCTCCAGAAACATTGCCAAGGTGTTTCGTAGTATGTTTAGTTTGATCACTTGCTTCCTCTGTTTGAGCCCATGGGGTGGGTCTTCATGCTCTGCCTACATCCACAGTGCTGGGGTTTCCAGAGTTAGGAGTTTCTGTAGCATCATATTTTTTCCTCTGAGGTGAAAAAATCATCTGCACCACCAGAGAGACAGTCAACCTGCCCACAGAGGAAGAATACTGTGAAGCATTCTGGCAGCCAGACATTGACAGTTCCACTTAAAAGGTCCCTTTTCTTTCCCTACCAGTTTACAGATGTTTTTAACCAGCTTTTTTGCATTCTTGGATCTTTGTTTTCTTACTTTAGCAAGTAAGGTAACAATACTGAGGGAGACGATTTCCCTGTAGTTGTTGTTGGTCAACTTCTTTCCCTTTCCTTCTTTTTCTTTTTTCTCTCCTCTCTTCTCCTCTTCTCTCAAGTTTAAATGTGAAAGCAAAGGTTTTCCCCTATGTTAAAAGACCAGATAGATTTTGGATGTTCTAATAAGGCAACAGTCAGGCATTGATTTCCCCTTTGCAAGGTCATTCTCATGGGCAGGTGTCAAGTGGACCCTATAATTGTTCCAAATGAAGGAGTGTTTTGGCATCCAGCTTAAAATATGTTGGATATTATACCAAATATTATCCCCTGTGTGGTTATTTATCCCCCGAGTACGTCCTGCGTTCTGGAGTTGTTTACTAACAGAACATTTTCTCACTGCCCTGTGCTTCTCATGCAGTTGTTTGTGACTTGTTGATAGATGTTGTTTGTCACTGTTTTGTTCATTGCTTCAGACGAATCAACATCCCAGCCGGCAGGAAGGACACGAATATGAATCATCCCCTCCCAGACCTCCAGACGTAAGCCATCTGTTAATTTGTCAACATAGCACACATGCTGCTGAGTTACTGATCACAGGACTGGCTTTAAGGGTAGCCCTAGACTAATAGAAAGCTCGTCATAACCTCCTCCCCAGGCTTGCCTGTGTCTCCTACATGACTGCTGTTTCTGGTTGCATGTCTGTCCATTTGATGCAATCCCAGATGAGAGGTCAGCAATGGTTTGCCATTGTTTTAGAATACACAGGCATTAGCACTGCAGCCTTCGTGGGCAAAAAACGGAGGGGGAAGGAGGGATGGACCTGACGTGGGCAGATAGGATATTTCCTTCAAAATAATGCTAAACATTTTCAAAGGGAGGTGGGAATTCTTGCATACTGTATTCTCTGCAGTACTCACTTGGTTTTCGAGTACCTTGTGACAACCAATCAAAGAAATTATATTTTGCTTCTAGGACTTCTATATGACCATGATGCAGGGGACAACAAGTATCTATGTAAATGAAGATCAAGACAAACACCTCAAACTGAACATCCAGACACAGCCAAGGCCCATGAGAACAAAGGAGCCCAGAAGAGAGTCGCCTGTGGTGGAATATTTTTATGAAAACCATCCAGTCTCTAACTGAAAGAAAAGCACAAAATTGTATCTGGGGCCAGAAATAACAACCAGAAATAACAACAAGACACAACCCTTTTCCTGGACATCAGGGGTCACACAGTTGCAGTTTATGAACAAGAGAGTTTTCTTTTTGTGCCTACATGAAATTCTATAGAGACTAAAAGTAATTGGATGGAGAAAGAACTTGTTTGCAATCGTGCCTCTGAGATGTAGAAGCAAAATCAGATTCCACTGGAGTACCCCAAGTTCTCTGAAAGAGATGGTTTTGCTGTTCTCCTACATTAATTCATTTTAATAAAGAACATCTAAATCCCTGCAGTGATACTGATGGTAGAAAAGAGCAGCCAGAGAGTTGGTTGCAGTCCCAGGTAACTGAGTTCCTTTGCCTCAACCTTCAAAAAACAGGAAGGCATTCTTTTCATTTGGCAGAAAGCCCTCAGGCTGCAGGACTCTCTTCCCCTCTAACACCATGAGCCTTCCTGACTGGTGGTCTGTTGCAACTGCTCAGATCCTTGCAGGCAGCAGCAGTGAGCACAGCAGATGAACAAGGAAGGACCCCTGCCTGGGAGGAACAGCCACTCCCAGAGGGTGCTGGCCACAGGCACTGCAGACCTACTCTGCAGTGTAGCAGCAGATGTGGGCACTGCCCCAACCCAAATTAAATAACAGCTCAAATGCTCATAAAGAGATTTTCCTTTATTGGTTTGTTAAAGTACACACATGGAGCAGCCATGGGATCTGTGTGTGTGAGAAAAGCAGCTGATTGATGCAGCCACTGTGCTCAATGATCTCATGACTGAGTGTCAGTGCAAGGGGCTGCAATGTCACCCAGAGCCTCCTGTGATGGGGTGGAGGTTTCAAAGCTGTCTACTCTGTGCATATATCTATGTTTGGACTGCCTTCCTGGAATCTGGGCAAGGTGGGCCAATGCTCCTGCTGTTGGTTTCAGTAAAGGAGATGTAAAGGAATAGCCAGGCTGAGGATGCTGTAGAGATTGGTTTAGTGCTTTTCAGCGGGGGAGAGCACAGAGCTGGTAGGCAGGAGGTATGTTGCTTGCCCCACTCAGTGTTGGGGTTATGCTGAGCTCCTGGGGGTCGACAACAGACTTCAAGGTAAAGTTCTGCAAGATGGTGGCTATGAGTAAGAATATCTCCATTCGTGCCAAGCCCTCTCCAGGGCATATTCGCTTTCCTGAAAGTGGAAGCACAAACCAGCACTCAGTAGGTGTTTCTAAGTAGACCAGAGTTTGTACTAAGCAGATGTGTTGCACAGCTTTGTTTACTACCCACAGCCACAGCAGTGAGATGACTGTCAAGATTTACTAAGCACATTTTCAAGAGAAGAAAGTACCCTTGGCAGTTTGGATGGGTGTATGAAGGAAGACAGGAGTAGGAGAAGTCTCAGACACGGACAGAACATCACAGGAGTGAAGATGAGAGAGAGCAAGGGGACATAAAGCACAGGTGAAAAAGTGGAAGGCTGAGGTTATTTTTAGGTGAGTGGTTGCATGTAGAGGTGCTGGGAAAAAGCGGAGCTACCACTGAAAGAAGGTTGGTTCAGGATGACTTTGGTGGTTGTATAGGAAGGTGACAGGTATTTTAGAAAGTGTCAGTGGATCCCATTCACATCATTACATTGGCAACTCCTAGTAGGAAATTTGGGAAGCCTTCAGGTCTGAACAAGGTGGGACATGCCACTGGAGATGGGAGCAGCAGGGAAGAGTCATCCAGAGAGCAGTGAGCCCCGAGGAAGCCCCAGTGGGACCATGTTGAGAAGAGGCAGTGTGTGTTACAGGGAAAGGCCGGGTAGTCACCAGAGGAGAAGGCTGACAGACAGAGAAAAAGAGAAAGCCTGTGCTTTACCTGCTGAGAAGGGCATGAAGAAGTTGCTCTTCTTAAAGGTGCCATTCTTGTTCAAGAAATGTTCAGGGTTGAACTCATATGGATTTGCAAACTCTTTACTGTCATGGAGGACAGAACTGAGGACAGGATAAATTGTGGTTCCCTGAAGTAACACAAGAAGAGCAGAACGTGAAGGGGAGGTAACTTAGATCACTCAATTTGACTGCCTGCCAAGTTAAAACTGAGATTCCCAGTATAGCCCTACCAGTGCCTTTGGTTTCCCTTTGGGGACCCTTCTTTTGGGGAGGCAGCGTTAGGGAGACCCTAGTGGATGTCACAGCAGTGACAGTTGTTGGCTGCTCTTCCTTAATGTTCCCTCTCACTTCCAGAACATTTATCCTCACCTTGCTCTGGTCATCAGGGGACATCAGAGCTAATTCTTCCTCTTTCTTAGTGTTTCACAATAATGAACTTGTAGAGGCACCATGTCCCTTCTTTTCTGTGAGCCTCAAAAAGCGAAAGCACACAAGGTTGTGGAAATGAAGCTCACTTCCCCTCCCCTGACAGATTTCTCCTGCCACAATCCTCTTCCTGACCAGGCATTGATGGGGGCTGGATTAATCGGCAGTGATGACAGAAGAGCTCTTTGCTGGAAGTTGAGCAGTTCTCTGGATCCTGCCTTGTGATTTTACACAGACAGCTGGAAATCACAATGCCAACAGCACATGTGCTGCTGTTTACAGTCACCCAGAAGAGCAACAAGCATTGCTGCAGTGGGCCAGGCCAAGCCATGGGCTGCTGTAACCCACCAGCCTGCCTCTGGCAGTGGCCAGCAGAGACTGCCTCAGGAAGTATGTGAGAACAGAGCAAACAGGTTTTGCTTGTTCCATTGAATGGAAACATACCCTCCAGCACTTTGTGGCTCAGGGGCTTTCTGTGCTCAATAACCAGCAACTGACTTTGCTCCCAAGCATGTGCATAGGCTGTCCTGGATGGTGGTGAGCAGCTCCATGACTTTGCTGCTCTGGGTTTTTGTGAACCCACTGTGCTTCCACAGATAGGTAAAGCAAGGGAACAAATGTGTTGGTCAGCACTACTGTTCTAGTCTTGGCCCATGGAGTGTCAACAAGGGAGTGCAAATGAGCTACAGAAGCCTGAGGATAAAACCTTCAACTAGGTCTGGGTGAAAACAAGGTCAAGCCACAACAGTTCTGGCTTCTGGCTGTAACAGCCTAAGGGCAAATGTGCTGCCACCTCGTGCTGAACTTAAGGGAGCTTGCCCACTAACCTTAGGAATGATGTACTCTCTGAAGGAGGTGTCTTTGGTCACAGTGTGAGGGAGAGCCAGGGGGATAAGAGAGATGAAGCGCTGGATTTCATGGACCACCGCATCTGTGTAGGGCATCTGGGTCCGGTCAGCCACACACGGTTTTCGTGATCGTCCTATTACTTGGTCAATCTCTTCTTGAACTTTCTCTGTCATGAGAGGCACAAACCATAAAATGGGTAAATATAACCAAACCTACATAAATAGGTTGCCCTAAGCTGTTTACAAATCGCAGATGGCAGGGGCATTGATGTTGGTTTTGGTGTTCACTAGAACACAGTTCCACTGCTGCCCATGCAAAGAAAGTTTTCCTATTGACTTGGCTAAACAGGAGTACTGGGAGATAAAGGTGTGGACACAGTCAGGTGCCAGGCTGTGAAGGGACTGTAGCTGATGATGATACCAGTGGGGCTGAGGGGCCTCCATTGGCCACCATGAGGAATGACAGTGTAAGGACTTTGTCCACTTGGATAAAAGAGAGAGAGAGAGAGAGGAAAAGCTGGGAGAAGGATGTGGCATTAGGCATGTGCCCAGCCCAGGGAAAATGCTAGAAAGGAAGAGATCACAAACTGGTACCTTGTATCTTTGGATGTTTGAGAAGCAGCAGAAGCCCATATCGTATGGTGGTGCTTGTTGTCTCAGTTCCAGCAATAAACAAGTCAAAGGTGCTTGTTATCAGGTTCTTCAGGTGGAAACTGGAATCCGGACGATCTTTCTCCTAGGGAAAAGGCTGGGTTGTTTCTCTGGCTAAGCTGAGAAATGTGGCCCTTTCTCATGTCATCCCTGGCCTTTCTTTTCACCTAGAGCTTTTGCATTTTTGTGTTAAAGTGCAGCACCATCTGGGGCACAGCAATGCTACCTTGAGCAGTAAACTCAAACTGCCTTGATCAACCTTCTTTCAAGTTGAGCATCGAATGGTACTCAAGTGCTTGTTTACCCTTGCTATACCAACTGCTTTCCAGTGAAAGAAGTGCAAGACTAGAGTGAAAATGTCCTGTGTTATGGCGAGAGCAGATGAAGCTCTCCCTGTCCAAGCAGCTGCAGGTAGTGGGGGCTGGGGAGCATGCACACCCAGAACTATAAGCTCTGGCACAGGCAATATCTGGGATATGTCTTCCATTGCACAGCTGACAGGGAAGGGGTCATCCCAATGTCTGTGTTACTTATGAGAGGGAACAGACTCAGCATAGGTGTGTTTGGGGATGAGCTGGTGCTGTATGCTGTCTCCTTACCTCCTGCATTTTGCTGAGGAAACAGTCGATGAAATCCTGAGGGGAGTTGGGATCTAGGGAGGCTTGGTGCAACTTCACCTCCTCTGCCACAAAGGCTTTGAGAGCATCAAATTCTTCAAATATTTTGTTATGTGGGCCAGGCAAGTAATCCATGATCTTTGAGAACATCTGGTAGAGCTAGAAGGAAAGAAACAGGAAGGTTGCTAGTATGACCATTAACGCATCCTTTGATGTTAACAAAAAAACCAAGGAAGATCACAATCCTGTCAACTGAGCCAAGCAGAAGGACTATGAGCCTGGGCAGTCTGGCAGGGCTGTAGGGGCTTGCTTAGTGGTAGTAGGAACCTTAGAGTTGGAGAAGAAGGGTGTTCAGGACTAATGGGAAGCTGCACTTAGCAAAGCCAATTCCATTGGTGAGGGTGCTTCTTGCTCTCAAATGAAATCCCTTCTGTGCAGCAGAGCATTGATGGGCTCCTAATTAGAAGACTGAAATGGAACTTCATTGGGAGGGAGGCCTCCTGCTCCTCTGGGAGAATGTTGCCACTGTGAAATGGCTACTGAATGTACCTGTCCCCAATGGGAGTTCGTAATCTCAAAGATGTTGTTCATGTTGTTCATCAGAGCCAGGAACTTCTTGTCTTTGTAATCATACCGTTTCCCAAAGACGATGGAGCATATGACATTGGAGACAGAACAGCTCAGCATGAAGGTTGGGTCAAAAGGTGTTCCTGTGATTTCAGAAAAGTTACAGCTATAAAAAAACCTCACAAAACTATATTTACTTATGGCTACTGTGGGTAATCTGAACTCTGGTTGTTAGTGGAAATATCAGATCACAGTCTCTGAGTGACACAGAAGGGTCCTCCAAAGAGAACAGTACATGATCATGAAATTATTTACACCTTTGTAATGAGGGGTATCTGATGCATGGACCAAATCCATAGGAACTTCAGTTCTTTGCTAAAGACATGAGCTCCCCTACTACAGTAAATTTTTTTCAAACCTAAGATATATTAAAAATGGACCATACCCTTTGTTTTGTTTATCTCTTCCAGCAAGTAGTCAGATTCCTCCTGTATCCTCTCTTCGATGCTCCTCTTCCCCATTCCAAAGTTCCGCAGAGTGGTGAGAGCAAACCGCCGGACTTGTAACCACGGCTCGTTGTTGCTGAAAACAATCCCTGCAGAGAAAGAAGGAAGAGGGAAGACCTGGTTTGGGCATGCTGGGTGTGGGATGAACGGTGGCTCACAGTGACAGAGAATCCTGTCCCTGGAGAGCACTGACATGGTAGTGTCACAGAGTCCTGTGGTTTGGAGGCAATCTCTGGAGGTTCTGTAGTCCAACTGTCTGCTTCTGGCCTTCTCCACTACATACCCAACCTCCTTGTGAATAATTGATCACTCATATCCACTCACAGCTTCCCTTGCTGCAGCTGGGGGCTGTTGCCCCTTGCCCCTTCCCAGCCCATCTCTGAGAACAACTGGCTCCACTTCTCTGATACCTCTCCCCCTTTGGGTGGTGGAAGCCAGGAACTACAGCCCACTTTGCCTTCCCTTCTCCAGGTGGGATGCACCCACACCCTGCAGTCTCCCTCGTGCATGGTACATTCCAGCTCTAATCTGCTGAACACATCCTCACAGCCCTTCCCTTCTCAGAAGGAGGTCAGTCAGCAAACAGACCTAATCCATTGTTGGCCCTCTCTCCTATTGGCATGTGTCCTCTGGCAGCAAACTCATCCGCACGATCAACCAAAGCTTCTTTCACCACATCGTGTCCGTGCAGCACCACCACTGGGTCAGAGCCCAGGTGCACTGTGAACACTGGTCCATACTCTTCACTGAGCTGTAAAAATGCAAGAGAGAACACAACCATGTAGCAAATAGGAAGGAAGAGCTGAAAAGTGTCCTTGCTGCTGCATCCCACTGCAGGCAGTGAGCCTCACACACCAGCAACATCGAGATTTGGTCCTCTCGTGATAAATGTGGCTACAGAGAGGAGTCCCAGCTATCCAGCCCTGAACAACCAGGGCAACAGCGACAAGGGGGAGCAGCTGCAATCCCCATGACTCTGCTGCTCCTCTGGGATTGCAATTCATCAAGCTATAGCCAGAGGTTGTCCCCATGCGCAGGTGCCACACGTTTCTCATCCACAGAAGAAAGAGAGGAAAAGAAAGTGGCCTTACCTTCTCAAGGGTTTTGGTCAAGTTATTTGGTCTCACATGCAGCAAGTTACCTAGAATGGGAAGGGGAGTTGGTCCTGGAGGCATCTTCCCCTTTCCAGACTTCCCTTTCCATGATGCAAGGGAGAGCAGGCAAGCAATGCAAATCAGAAGGACAACAGTGGCTGCTCCCAGGAGCTCCATTTGTTTCTGCAGTTCAGGAGAGGGTGAGTCTGGCTGCCAGAGTTCGAGTTATATACTCAGGGCTGTGTTAGTCAGGAGCAGGTTTTAGGTCACATGGCTGAGTTAGTCAGTGTTACTGATCAATCATTTGTTACATTGCCCTGTGTTATGAAACTAAGACTTTTATTGCTATTAATTGGTCATTGAAGACGCCTTATCTCAAACAACTGCAGAGGCCAACAGAGGCTAAGAAATTTATAATGTGCTCATAAATCTTGTTTTGTTTACCCTACAGTTAATTGTTAAAGAGATCACACCAAGGGTGCATTCTTGTACTGAGGCGCTCACAGTAATTCCCTCTCATGGGAGCATCTTCAGTGCCATTTAGGATTTTAATTCTTCAGTATCAATTGTGCAAACTCTCAGTGATGTGAGCCATCCTTGATTGTTCCTGAAATCTTCCTGACACTGGTAGAGTTTGCGCTGCATGTGACTTGCCAAAGGACATACAGAAAGTGCACAGCAATTAAATGCCTCAGTCTCTCTCCCTAGGGGTGTCTGGCCTCACAAGAGAGGAAAGTGTAAAATATCCATCTAGCATGGGCAGAAAGGTCTCCAGACATCACAGTAGACAAAGACATAAGAAAAGTGGATGAGACCTTGGGACTCTGACCTCTTCAAGGAGAGGAGTTTTCTCTAGAGGAGAAAACAATTGAGAAAAGCAGGCAGAGAAGAGAAATTAAGAACTTGAGAGGGTCTCTGGGGAATGGCTTCCCAAATTGTGACAGAGCAGAGGCTGAGTATAGGTTAGTGCAACCTGGCAACTAGTCCTTGCACTTGTAATGACCAAAGAAGATCACCCAAACTACTGCTGGAAGCTGGCATGCACAAGCTCTTGTTTTGTTATGTCTGACTCCACTAGGAGGAACTGCTGCCCCAGAAGGTCCATAGGTGCTCTGAGAAACAGCAGAGCATGTCTGGGAAAGGACCCTCAAGGTTGTTCTCAGCTTGCTCAGTCTGGCCTTATCCCACTGTCTCTCCTGAACTGTGACACTTTTGCAGGCAGACAGATCCAACTGATCAGGTGTTGCAAGAACAGGGGATGCAGGACTTGGCAGGAATTAGCAAGAGGCCTGGGTGAATTGAGTGCTTAGCTGGACTGTGCTGGGTTTGCTCTAAGTCCGTGTGTTAATGTGAGTTTCCCCTTCCACTCAGAGGTGCTAGGGAAAGTCTCCATCCCTTGCAAAAGTTTCTGTACCTTCCCTTCCCTATGAGTTCTTAAGTCACCCTCGCTCTCTTGCATAGGTGCAATAATTTGCTAATTGTTCTTTTTAAATCTCATTTTACTTCTTAAAGACCCACACTAGATATTTTAGTGGGAAAACTGAATTACCAACAACTTTTGGCTGGGTGCTTATCTGCTGGCCTAAATTCCTGCATCAGCTCAGATGTCAGGGCAGTTCATGGCAGTTCATGTAGCTTTATGGACTTTCACCTGATAAAAGTAAAGTTCATGAGAGTTTGCACTGCTATATGAGGTAGCTGCCAGCTAACAGCAATCATGAACTTTCCACCTTGTCTGTAAAGTTCCCTTGTTCCCATGACCCTCACTGATCAGCTTCAGGCTAGTGGACCACAGAGACATTTGCTTCTCCTGTCCTCATCCTCTCCATGTCCTGTTTGTGGTGGTCTTGGGTGCTGCCTAAACTGGTGCTTACAGCTGGGTCATTGTAATGCACGAGAACTATCAAATGGGTGAGGAAAAGATCTGTGAGGAAGAGAAACCTGCCTGTTTTATCTCAGCCAGGCTGCTTCCCACTTTCTATAACAACTTCTTTCAAACAAAGCATTTCACTTCCATGAATTTCAGGCTCATTTCAAGTGCCTCTCATCCCTGTCCAGTGTGTGTGTAGGTATTAGGAAAGGACAATTACCTGAAACTGTTCTCAGCACAGGTATTGCTTGTTGGATCTACAGCACTCTCAGGGTTCTTTCATGTAGAATTATTCTTTATCTCCATGTAGATATTTTTCCTGTCAGCATAAACAAAATATTAATGGGTTAAAGAGTAACTAAAGCTACATCCCTATAGCTCCAAAGTATTTTGTTTGTTATCTTTTACCTAATTATCATCAGGTAATGCAGTCAAATGAAGCATTCAGCAGTCAAGCAGTGGCAGTGCGATCTGAGCAAGCGCAAGATTCAGCTTCTACAAAGATGAAGCCTGCCTCCCTGCCAAAGTCCAAATGTTCTCCCTGCCAAAGTCCAAATGTCTTCCCTGGGTGCATCCCCAATGCCTCTGCCCAGTGCCCAGGCAGGAACTGTGGTGAGCACACTTGGTTCATGTGTGCTGCTCAAACCACAGCCCGTCGAGATCCATTTGCTTGGGTTCCTGCTGTGCAAAGCAGCTCCGAAGGTCTTGTACTTTGTGGAACAGCCATCCTGACTGGTGCATGAAATTAGCAATGTGCAGGGTAGGCACAGTGATGTTCTTCACCCAGCTGGGATCATGGCAGCCTGTATACCTGCAGAGCAAAGGTGGGCTGTGGGCTGAGGTGAAAGAGCAGAGGAAATGGCTCCCACAGACTCAGTTACTATCCACCCTTCCTGTGGTGAGGACTAGCTGGAGGGACAAGTGGCTGACTGCTGCACAGGGCTGTGCAGACATCCAGGAGCTGGAGGGTCTGACGAGGGCAGAAGCATGAGTGGCTACCAATGGAAGTGCAGTATTAAGGGCCAAGATTAGAAATCCCACGCATCCCAGCTGGCTCCACAATTTAAAAGGGCTAGGCTAAGGACAGTTACTTCATGGTCCTTAGCAAGAGGGCAGGATGGGTGTTGTAGGACAGTCTGGGGCTGCATTGGGTGCTGTGCTTTTCTGGGTGCTTCTTGGTCTCCTAGCTTTGGTTATGGGGGCTCGTAGTGTTTTTTCTGACCCCACCCTGCTGATTTGTGGCCAAGAAAGCTTACAGCTCACCTTACCTCTGGGCTGGGAAGGGAATGCTTCATTGGTGCTGACTACTTGGGGTAAGTGAGGGCAGTGTCCAGAGGCATTTTTAGCCGTATCTTTGCACACTGCAGAGGTATGCCTGGAAAGAGGAGGAAGGAGTGGGTTTTGATGGGAAGTGTTGCTGAACAGCTTTCAGTGCATCTTGTATGATCAGGGGGCTGTTTATGTGACCCAGTAGTCAAGGGTTTTGGTGAAGTACTGTGCCTGGATCTAGATGGTCTTGGCTGCTGGATTCTCTCACATGCACCCCTCCTGGTCCAGACCCTAATACTGTCTAGGTCCCTGTTTCCTACAGAAAGGTAGGATTGTAGTGGACCCTATCTGTAATGTGGGATGTTAAAGCCACTGCTGCTGTCTTCTCTTTCCATAGATACTGAGGGGAAGGCACATGCTCTGCAGAATGACTCTGACTGTGGGCTTTTGGTATCTGAGACTCCAGATGGCTCCAGGAAAGTATTGGTTTCTTATACTGGCTGTTATATCTTTGAATGGGTGAGTGACCTTATGGATTCTGCTGGGACTGTGACTACTGCTGCTCTGGCTGCCCTGACTGGTGTGGCTTTCCCCTAGAATGGCCATTACCTTCTGCTGGTTGGGCTTGAAGGAACAGATGCTGCTGGGCAAAAGGTTCTTCATGAAGAGACGCTGCTCAGGTGCCCTGTGGACCTTCCTGGTAAGATTCTGATAGTTGCTTGTATCTTGTGGGTGATGAGTGCCATGCCTTTCAGTTGGCTGTTTCTGGTCAGTCTGGGGGCTAGGAAAGGAGACTTTCTGCTGGGCAGAAAACTCCCTGCAAAAGGGTTTGGACATAGGAACCACCAACTTGCTGGGAACTTGTGCGTCTTTGCAGGATCGGCAGGTGAACATGTTCACTGTGTCTCTAGCCATATTTTGACTGCTTGGGTCCCTGCAAGTTCAGGGATTGAGCCAGAGACTAGGTACAATGATTTTCCTAACTACCAAGAGTTGATCCAAAACACTGTATTTTGACAGATCTCATACAAGTCCAGTCTCCTGTACGTGGCTTCTAGGGGAGATTCTGTTCCAGGGAAATGCATGTCCCTTCTGAGCAGGCTTCCATGCCACCTCCAGGCCATGTGTTTAACCCTCACCTGACTTTAATTTCCCTTCATTTTTATGCAGAGTCACTAGGACATCTTCCACTAAAGTCATTTGTCCCCCTGCTTTTGTGCTTTAGCTGCAAACTCCTGCTGTTTTTTTCCAGCCCTAGATGCTCCAAGCAGTAGTGTCTGTTCGGCCGTTCCCAGCCAGGACCGGCTGCCATGTGCCTCCTTGCCTGTCAGCCAGGGAAACTGTGAAGTGCGAGGCTGCTGCTATGACCCTAGAGACAGGGTAAATCCTTGCTACTTTGGTAACACAGGTAAGCCTGAGCAGCTGTCCTCCCCTCCTACTGAGTTGCTTCAAAACAGGATTCCTCACTTTGCTGTCAGAGTGGAGTTGGTGTATTATCAGTCCTGCAGGTGGCTCAGGGCTATGTTTTTGCCTGTCAAGAATACCATGTTCTATTGAGGTGTCCAGCCTTTTCAAGTGTATTGCAACAGACCTGGGTTTATGGCCAGAATCGATGTTGCTGTTAGAGCTGGTTGCACTTGCCTTGCCATGCTTAGCAATTGTTTCAGGGCTTAAAGGCAGGAGAACTCGCAAAACTTGCTGGCCTCATCTTTGCTGTGATGTTTTGAGTCTCCTTTCCATTCCTCTTCTTCCTGAGCTTAAGACTGATTGTATCTTTTCCTCTAGTGACAGCTCATTGCACACCAGATGGCCAGTTTTCCATTGCTGTTTCTCGAGATGTGACCCTGCCACCCATTGTCCTGGACTCTGTGCAACTGGCCAGTGGGCACAGTACTGGCTGTGTTCCTACTGTGAAAAACAATGCATTTGTTGTGTACCAGTTCCCACTCTCTGCCTGTGGCACCACTTTTCAGGTAAGAGTTGCAGCTGTCACTAGGCTGCAATAGCAGAAGCTGTCAGACCTGGCACAACCTGACGTGGCTTTGGCTACTGAATGGACACCCTATAGACTTCCAGAGGCCAAGTGGTGTTCTCCAGCCTCATAGTGATCCAGCTTGACTTTACCACAGTGATTGATGCCTGTCTGTTGTTCTAGGTGACTGGAGACCAAGCCATATATGAGAATGAGTTGGTGGCATCCAGGGATGTGAAAACTGCAAGCCTTGGCTCTGTCACTAGGGATAGCACTTTGAGGTATTACCCTGGGGCTGATGTTGCTGGGTGCCATTGTATTCAATGTTTTCTCTTTGAGCCTACATGAAATTCTATAGAGACCAAGACTAAAAGTAATTGGATGGAGAAAGAACTTGTTTGCAATCGTGCCTCTGAGATGTAGAAGCAAAATCAGATTCCACTGGAGTACCCCAAGTTCTCTGAAAGAGATGGTTTTGCTGTTCTCCTACATTAATTCATTTTAATAAAGAACATCTAAATCCCTGCAGTGATACTGATGGTAGAAAAGAGCAGCCAGAGAGTTGGTTGCAGTCCCAGGTAACTGAGTTCCTTTGCCTCAACCTTCAAAAAACAGGAAGGCATTCTTTTCATTTGGCAGAAAGCCCTCAGGCTGCAGGACTCTCTTCCCCTCTAACACCATGAGCCTTCCTGACTGGTGGTCTGTTGCAACTGCTCAGATCCTTGCAGGCAGCAGCAGTGAGCACAGCAGATGAACAAGGAAGGACCCTTGCCTGGGAGGAACAGCCCCTCCCACAGGGCACTGGCCACAGGCACTGCAGACCTACTCTGCAGTGTAGCAGCAGATGTGGGCACTGCCCCAACCCAAATTAAATAACAGCTCAAATGCTCATAAATAGATTTTTTTTTTTAATTGGCTTGTTAATGTACACACATGCAGCGCTATCCATCTGCAAAGCATGGTCTTGGTGGGACATGGGCTGCAGGAGCAGCCATGGGATCTGTGTGTGTGTGAGAAAAGCAGCTGATTGATGCAGCCACTGTGCTCAATGATCTCATGACTGAGTGTCAGTGCAAGGGGCTGCAATGTCACCCAGAGCGTCCTGTGATGGGGTGGAGTTCTGGGAGGTTTCAAAGCTGTCTACTCTGTGCATATATCTATGTTTGGACTGCCTTCCTGGAACCTGGGCAAGGTGGGCCAATGCTCCTGCTGTTGGTTTCAGTAAAGGAGATGTAAAGGAATAGCCAGGCTGAGGATGCTGTAGAGATTGGTTTAGTGCTTTTCAGCGGGGGAGAGCACAGAGCTGGTAGGCAGGAGGTACGTTGCCTGTCCCACTCAGTGTTGGGGTTATGCTGAGCTCCTGGGGGTCGACAATAGACTTCAAGGTAAAGTTCTGCAAGATGGTGGCTATGAGTAAGAATATCTCCATTCGTGCCAAGCCCTCTCCAGGGCATATTCGCTTTCCTGAAAGTGGAAGCACAAACCAGCACTCAGTAGGTGTTTCTAAGTAGACCAGAGTTTGTACTAAGCAGATGTGTTGCACAGCTTTGTTTACTACCCACAGCCACAGCAGTGAGATGACTGTCAAGATTTACTAAGGACATTTTCAAGAGAAGAAAGTACCCTTGGCAGTTTGGATGGGTGTATGAAGGAAGAACAGGAGTAGGAGAAGTCTCAAACACGGACAGAACATCACAGGAGTGAAGATGAGAGAGAGCAAGGGGACATAAAGCACAGGTGAAAAAGTGGAAGGCTGAGGTTATTTTTAGGTGAGTGGTTGCATGTAGAGGTGCTGGGAAAAAGCGGAGCTACCACTGAAAAAGGTTGGTTCAGGATGACTTTGGTGGTTGTATAGGAAGGTGACAGGTATTTTAGAAAGTGTCAGTGGATCCCATTCACATCATTACATTGGCAACTCCTAGTAGGAAATTTGGGAAGCCTTCAGGCCTGAACAAGGTGGGAAATGCCACTGGAGATGGGAGCAGCAGGGAAGAGTCATCCAGAGAGCAGTGAGCCCCGAGGAAGCCCCAGTAGGACCATGTTGAGAAGAGGCAGTGTGTGTTACAGGGAAAGGCCGGGTAGTCACCAGAGGAGAAGGCTGACAGACAGAGAAAAAGAGAAAGCCTGTGCTTTACCTGCTGAGAAGGGCATGAAGAAGTTGCTCTTCTTAAAGGTGCCATTCTTGTTCAAGAAATGTTCAGGGTTGAACTCATATGGATTTGCAAACTCTTTACTGTCATGGAGGACAGAACTGAGGACAGGATAAATTGTGGTTCCCTGAAGTAACACAAGAAGAGCAGAACGTGAAGGGGAGGTAACTTAGATCACTCAATTTGACTGCCTGCCAAGTTAAAACTGAGATTCCCAGTATAGCCCTACCAGTGCCTTTGGTTTCCCTTTGGGGACCCTTCTTTTGGGGAGGCAGCGTTAGGGAGACCCTAGTGGATGTCACAGCAGTGACAGTTGTTGGCTGCTCTTCCTTAATGTTCCCTCTCACTTCCAGAACATTTATCCTCACCTTGCTCTGGTCATCAGGGGACATCAGAGCTAATTCTTCCTCTTTCTTAGTGTTTCACAATAATGAACTTGTAGAGGCACCATGTCCCTTCTTTTCTGTGAGCCTCAAAAAGCGAAAGCACACAAGGTTGTGGAAATGAAGCTCACTTCCCCTCCCCTGACAGATTTCTCCTGCCACAATCCTCTTCCTGACCAGGCATTGATGGGGGCTGGATTAATCGGCAGTGATGACAGAAGAGCTCTTTGCTGGAAGTTGAGCAGTTCTCTGGATCCTGCCTTGTGATTTTACACAGACAGCTGGAAATCACAATGCCAACAGCACATGTGCTGCTGTTTACAGTCACCCAGAAGAGCAACAAGCATTGCTGCAGTGGGCCAGGCCAAGCCATGGGCTGCTGTAACCCACCAGCCTGCTTCTGGCAGTGGCCAGCAGAGACTGCCTCAGGAAGTATGTGAGAACAGAGCAAACAGGTTTTGCTTGTTCCATTGAATGGAAACATACCCTCCAGCACTTTGTGGCTCAGGGGCTTTCTGTGCTCAATAACCAGCAACTGACTTTGCTCCCAAGCATGTGCATAGGCTGTCCTGGATGGTGGTGAGCAGCTCCATGACTTTGCTGCTCTGGGTTTTTGTGAACCCACTGTGCTTCCACAGATAGGTAAAGCAAGGGAACAAATGTGTTGGTCAGCGCTACTGTTCTAGTCTTGGCCCATGGAGTGTCAACAAGGGAGTGCAAATGAGCTACAGAAGCCTGAGGATAAAACCTTCAACTAGGTCTGGGTGAAAACAAGGTCAAGCCACAACAGTTCTGGCTTCTGGCTGTAACAGCCTAAGGGCAAATGTGCTGCCACCTCGTGCTGAACTTAAGGGAGCTTGCCCACTAACCTTAGGAATGATGTACTCTCTGAAGGAGGTGTCTTTGGTCACAGTGTGAGGGAGAGCCAGGGGGATAAGAGAGATGAAGCGCTGGATTTCATGGACCACCGCATCTGTGTAGGGCATCTGGGTCCGGTCAGCCACACACGGTTTTCGTGATCGTCCTATTACTTGGTCAATCTCTTCTTGAACTTTCTCTATCATGAGAGGCACAAACCATAAAGTGGGTAAATATAACCAAACCTACATAAATAGGTTGCCCTAAGCTGTTTACAAATCGCAGATGGCAGGGGCATTGATGTTGGTTTTGGTGTTCACTAGAACACAGTTCCACTGCTGCCCATGCAAAGAAAGTTTTCCTATTGACTTGGCTAAACAGGAGTACTGGGAGATAAAGGTGTGGACACAGTCAGGTGCCAGGCTGTGAAGGGACTGTAGCTGATGATGATACCAGTGGGGCTGAGGGGCCTCCATTGGCCACCATGAGGAATGACAGTGTAAGGACTTTGTCCACTTGGATAAAAGAGAGAGAGAGAGAGAGAAAAAGCTGGGAGAAGGATGTGGCATTAGGCATGTGCCCAGCCCAGGGAAAATGCTAGAAAGGAAGAGATCACAAACTGGTACCTTGTATCTTTGGATGTTTGAGAAGCAGCAGAAGCCCATATCGTATGGTGGTGCTTGTTGTCTCAGTTCCAGCAATAAACAAATCAAAGGTGCTTGTTATCAGGTTCTTCAGGTGGAAACTGGAATCCGGACGATCTTTCTCCTAGGGAAAAGGCTGGGTTGTTTCTCTGGCTAAGCTGAGAAATGTGGCCCTTTCTCATGCCATCCCAGGCTTCCTTTTTACCTAGAGCTTTTGCATTTTTGTGTTAAAGTGCAGCACCATCTGGGACACTGCAATGCTACCTTGAGCAGTAAACTCAAACTGCCTTGAGCAACCTTCCTGCTATACCAGCTGCTTTCCAGTGAAAGAAGTGGAAGACTAGAGTGAAAATGTCCTGTGTTATGGTGAGAGCAGATGAAGCTCTCCCTGTCCAAGCAGCTGCAGGTAGTGGGGGCTGGGGAGCATGCACACCCAGAACTATAAGCTCTGGCACAGGCAATATCTGGGATATGTCTTCCCATTGCACAGCTGACAGGGAAGGGGTCATCCCAATGTCTGTGTTACTTATGAGAGGGAATAGACTCAGCATAGGTGTGTTTGGGGATGAGCTGGGGCTGTATGCTGTCTCCTTACCTCCTGCATTTTGCTGAGGAAACAGTCGATGAAATCCTGAGGGGAGTTGGGATCTAGGGAGGCTTGGTGCAACTTCACCTCCTCTGCCACAAAGGCTTTGAGAGCATCAAATTCTTCAAATATTTTGTTGTGTGGACCAGGCAAGTAATCCATGATCTTTGAGAACATCTGGTAGAGCTAGAAGGAAAGAAACAGGAAGGTTGCTAGTATGACCATTAACGCATCCTTTGATGTTAACAAAAAAACCAAGGAAGATCACAATCCTGTCAACTGAGCCAAGCAGAAGGACTATGAGCCTGGGCAGTCTGGCAGGGCTGTAGGGGCTTGCTTAGTGGTAGTAGGAACCTTAGAGTTGGAGAAGAAGGGTGTTCAGGACTAATGGGAAGCTGCACTTAGCAAAGCCAATTCCATTGGTGAGGGTGCTTCTTGCTCTCAAATGAAATCCCTTCTGTGCAGCAGAGCATTGATGGGCTCCTAATTAGAAGACTGAAATGGAACTTCATTGGGAGGGAGGCCTCCTGCTCCTCTGGGAGAATGTTGCCACTGTGAAATGGCTTCTGAATGTACCTGTCCCCAATGGGAGCTCATCATCTGAAGGATATTGTTCATGTTGTTCATCAGAGCCAGGAACTTCTTGTCTTTATAATCATA